CCTTTTACGCAACTCTAAGGTCATTGCACAAATATCGTTTTGTCCTGCCACACCAGTAGGTTGACAAAGGAGCCATGAAATTTGTACTTGGTGGAGTAATTATCATATGTACAGGGTTAACTTCTCCTGGAGCTAAGCTTTAAACTTCTAGAGTAGATACCACTGTTATCTCTCAAGGCTCTTCAGAAACTCAAAATGATTCCAATTTTGAAAGGATTTTCCACTAAAACAGATTTGTAATGAAAGAAAAATAGTGAAAATCTTATGCCAATATAACCATCACTTCTGAGGTCTCAAGTAATCAGAAAGTTATTCAAGTTACTCAATAACCTATAAGAATTAGGTAATTAAAATATTTTGTAACTACTGTAAGAACTTTTATGTTTAATATGCAATTAATCATATTAAGGCAGTAAAAATTAAACTAAATATAATTGTAGTCAATATCACAGTCTTTCATCAGAATTTCTTAAAAAAACCCACACTTGTCAACATGGAGACTGATACATGTAAATGTATTATACCTTTTTATACTTTGTATGTATTTTTTACTTTGTATACTCTTATGTACTTTTTTATGGCAAGCAAAATGTAGTAGATAACATCAACTCTAACATCAATTTGTTTAATATTATTAAAATATTTTATTCTTAATACTATTAGCATACACTAAATTAATGAAGGATCACAATGCCATCAGATCAGGAGTGAATGAACAAAATTGAAGGCCAGTTTTAAAATTAATATTGAGACTATAAGGCAAGTTTCTTTAAGAGGCTAGCCTTCTAGAGAATATAATTTATGCATGGAAAGAAGGGAAATGATTCACTGGAATTTCTTTAAATAATATCATGTTTATTAAGAATAATAGGTCATGGAGAGAAAAAATAAAACCATCCAAACTCATATTAATGCAAGTAATATTTGCTTCTCAGAGTAAAAATTAAAGAACTTCAAGTTTTATCATTTGCTATTTTGATAAATAAAAGATAAATTAGTGAGGGATGGAAGGGTTGAAGGGAGGGCAGGGGAATGGGGAAAAAATAAGAACCAAGAGAGATTATGTAAAGGTGCAAATTTCCAATGATGAATGTAACTGTATTGTATACCTAAAATGTACCAATAAAATTTAAAAAAGATAAACTAGTAAGATAATTTCTACTTAAAATCCTAATTGATACAGAGAATGACATGCCTCACTATTAATGTCCAATTCTCATTAAATGGATTATTTTGGCAATTACATAGTGTTTGTGAAATACAGCAAACACAGAAAAACTAACAAGCAAGAATTTATGTTTCAATGACTAAAAAGAGTTGGATTAGAGAAAGGAAAGAAAAGATGTGTAACCTGGAGAAATAATTAAAAATTGAGCTATGTGCATCAGTCTTATGTGGAAGACTAATTCAACAGGCTGTGATGTCCAAAATAGAGCAGACTTCTTAATATCTACATACTCTAGGGCCAGAAAAAGAAAGATAGATAAGAGTGAGAGATTGAGAAGGATAAATAAATGTAGAAAAATGTTAACATGGGATTAACATCTGAGTGAAAAGTATCTTTGTACCATTTTTGTAACTTTTTTTTTTTGGTACCAGGGATCCAACTCAGGACCATGTGCTTGAGAGGCAGGCGGTGGCACCACTGAGCTAAATCCCTGGCCCTGTAACTTTTTAATTTTTTTTTTCATTAAGTTTTTGGGTACATTTTAGGTATACAATACAGTAACATTCATCATTGGGATCTTGTACCTTTACATGATGCATCTTGGTTCTTATTTTTTCCCCATTCCCCTGCCCTCCCTTTGCCCACTCCACTCTTCCTATTTACAAAGACTTTGTTTCCATTTTTTCCTTTTCTCATATTTTTTCTTTTCTTTCCTTTCCTTTCTCCTATCCCTTCCACTTCCCCTACTCCTTTAGACCTTTTCTTCCTATTTCACATTAGCAATTATACATTTTGATCCTTATTTACACTTTTAGTTTTTCCCACCAGAGAAACTATTCGGTATTTACCCTGTAACTTTTTGATAAACCTAAAATTATATATGAAAAAACCCATCCTATTTTAAAGTCATTTAAAATAATTCTCCTTGTGGTTATGCTTTCATTTTGTAATATAGTAAGGTTTATTTGTTTTAATTAGATTTGGATTTAGTTTGGTGTTTTAATCACAAAAAAACCTGGCTATAGTTCCAAAGTCAAAACTGTAAAACAAATAACATTCAGAGAGGTCTAGCTTTTGTCCTTTTTCCCTGCCTGCAATCTCTTGCTCCTCATTGGTAATTATTTTCATTAATTATTGGCCTTTCCTTCAATGGTAGGATATAAAAATAAGAAATATGTTAAAATACAAAAATACATATAAAATTCGAGTTTTCCACACAATATATGTCATAGATACAGAGGAGGTTCTCTTTTGGGTGCTTCTATTTTCTCAATGAAATAAAAGCAATCATCAAGGGGGAGTGAGAAAGGAGAGGGGATTATTGAAAGTCTGAGAAGAATGAAGGGGTGAAAAGTATTTTCAAAGATTAGGAGAATAAACTGACTTAAAGCAGTGGTTCTCAAACTTTGGCATCGAAATCTTACAGATTTCTGGTCCCCATCCCCAGAATTCCCAGCATAGTAACACATTTTTAACAAGCTTCTGAGTGATGTTGACGCCCGGGTCTGGGAGCCATGCTTTAAGAATCACGGGACTAAGGAAATACAGCAGGGCTCCTGGCAGCACAGGAGCTCACTAAAGCTTGAGGTCAAGAGTCTGCAGTGAGTCCAGCCAGCCTGATTGTATATTTGGCTCAGTACTGGAGGAGGCAGTTCACCAGGAGAGGGATTTAGAAAAAGACAGGATGGTGATATCAGTAACTGAAGGTACCAAACAAGCATATGGATTTATTTTTTGTTTCTACATCTATCTTCATATATATATAAAGCTTACAATGTCAACAAAAGACATTCAGGAAGGGTGAATGGAAAAGGATATATAGAAATGAGCTAAAAATACCGAGACAAAGTAAAAAGCTCAGCATGAATAGGAAAAAGCTCACATAAAGTACTAGAAAAAGATTGTATTCAAATCTGGTGGTAGCCTTGCTGACTCACACTGAAGAGGAAATGTGGTCACAATGTGAGAAAGCGCAAGACGTCAAAAGCACAACTAGCATTGTAAAAATGGATGGTTTGGGTATGGGAAGATAGCATGATAGAGAAATATTTATACTAGATTTTATGAGACAGAAAACTAATAGGAAAGCACCTATTTAGTCATAGAAAAGTCCTGCCAGGATCTTTAAGAGATATTTGTACACATATGTTCACTGCAGCATTATTCACACATGCCAAGAGACAGAAGCAACCTACATGTCCACCGACAGATGAATGGTTAAGAAAATGAGATTTAGCCACACAGTAGAATATCATGTAGCCTAATCAGTCATATGCCGCAATGTGGAGGAGTCTTGAGGATACTATGCTAAGTGAAATAAGGCAGTCAAATACTGTGTGCTTCCATTCCTACAAAGCAGCTAAAGAAGTCAAAATCATAGGAATAGAAAGTAGAGTCATGGTTGTCAGTGGTGCGGCAAAGGGGAGAGAAAAGCAGGATTTAGTGAGTATGGAGTTCAAATTTACAAGATGAAAAAGTTCTATGATTTGTTGCACGACAATATACTTGACACTACTGAATTTACACTTGAAAACAGTTAAGATGGCAAATTTCATGTTATGCATTCTTTCTCACAACAAGACAAAACACTCCCAGGCCAGTATGGTAATCATCCTCCTTCTTAGAGGTTTTAAGGGGAAAGTAAGGGCTACAAAATATTTTTATTCTAGCAATTTAAAAATACTGTCCCTCTTCTTCTGTGAAGTGCCTATTCATTTCACTTGGCCATTTTTTGACTAGGTCTTTTATTTTGAGGAGTTTGATTTTTTAAATTCTTTATATATTTTAGATATTAGTCCTCTGTCTGAGGAATAGCTGGCAAAATATTTTCCCATTCTGTAAAATTTGTCTTTTCACTGTTGTTTCTTTTGCTGTGCAGAAGCTTTTTAATTTGACATGATCCCATGTGTTGATTCTTTGTACTATTTCTTGTGCAACCAGGGTTCTGTTCAGAAATTCCTTGCCTATGCCTGTGACTTCAAGAGTTTCCCAAGACATTGGTGGTGGAGGGGGGCGGGGTAGAGGATAGGGGATGGAAAAAGGAATTAAGATGTGTTATGTACATGTGCCAGCTCCCTACAAGGAACGTAAACATTATGTACTGCAAACATGTACTAATAAATAAAATAGAAATATTGTCCCATGTATTATAGTTATAATAAACTAAAAGCTCTGGAGAATATAATATTCAGGAATGGATACCCAGAAATAATTAGAATGACAGATAAAGCCAGATGAAGTAAATATTATTTAGTTAAACAGAGCTGCAGGGTGACAGTTATGGGGAGGATAAAAGCTAACTTTTCATTCCAAATGATACCAAAGAAAAGGGAAATGATACTAAGATGCAGGGCCAGCAGTTACATAGATAACTGGTAGTGATTAAATACTGGACCAGAACAAAAACTGAAGAATCCCATAATTATTTTCTTTAAAATATAGATTGTTTTAATTTACTTGGATGAGTTTATTGTTTTGATTAAAAGGGGAGAATAATTCACAAGTATCATCTAGTCCCAAATTATAAGATTGTTTTAGAAAATAAATCCAAGTTCTTAAAAGTATATATAAAAATATTCAAAGATACTGTAAAGATCAAATAAAGCTTAAGCAAAAAAGAGTAAAAAATGTTACCACTAATATTAGTATATTTCAGTATAGGAAGGCCATTTTATGTGGATAACAATTTCTAAAACAAATCCAGAAAGAAACAAATTCAATGCTTATGCTTAAAAAGTCCATATAGCATATACATGTCATTTCTTAGGAAAGACAGAAAATGTTTATTTTTGCTTATAATTTATAAATTTTTTTTTTAATTTTAGGGGGTGAGGGAAACTTTCTTCAATTTTCAAGTTGGAGGGTATTCACAAAGAAGATATAATTTCCTAAAGTTGTGTTAACTGAGTGTCAAGTTGTTGCACGGTAGTGGGATCTTTTAATATTTTTAAAAGGAGTCTAAAGGTTGTCATATTGAAAAAAGAAAAGGGGAAAAAGAAACCCTATCACCACATGTGAATATAAAAAAGAAGAGAATCCAACCAATTGCGCCACGACCGGATGGAAGAGCTCAGCTGACAAACCCAGCCCAGTCTAAGGAAGCTTGGGGTTTAGCTTCTTGTACTTCAGGAAAGTCTGAACTGTAAGTATGCATTGATTTGTTTTTAACCATATAAATGAGTCTCAATTTTACTTTAAAGTTCAACTATCTAAATATTCAAAATGAAACATGATTCATGCTGCTAAGACTACTCTGATATCAGCAATTCTTTGCTTTCAGTCACTGAATAAACTGCTTAAATGTCACCTCTACCTTGATTTACTTTTAATATAATCACATCGTTTATACCGTATTTGTATAATGCCATAAAGATCTATAGATCTACTTGAATCAATGAAGTTATTTTCAGATGCTATAAAACTTTAGTTCTAATGTATTATAAACTATTTATAATGTTTGACTTCATTGTTATATCATCTCCTTGTTTTTAAAAAATAGCATTTTCTTTATTATATCATCAGTACTTTAGGGTAATTACCAGACCAATTAAATTTTAAGGTTGATGTTTCAGAAGTAAGGTGAAACTTAGGAAAAGAGTAAGCAAAATATACTTTAGTTAATTCAAATAACTAAAATTAAAAAGTTTTTGACAGTTAAGCTTATAAGAAAACTTAATATACTTCTAATAGTATTATTTCCAAAGTAACAGGATTTTAATTTTTGTTCTGTATTCAGCAGTTATCACAATTTTTGAAGCATGACCTGAGTAGGTTCAGTCATTATCAAGTCAAACTAAACACAGTGAGTGAAAGGTTGCTATCACTGAAACAGGTATGTATTTTAACGTGGCAATATGCCATTTACATAAACACACCCAAATTGCATTTGAAAAGCTTTTGCTTATCTGGGACCACAATAAAATCTGCTGAGCCCTACCATTCAAGACCGCAGCTCCTATGAAAGCCAGTCAGAGAAAAAAAAAAAACGTGGGAGGGTAGAGTGGTGGTCTTGGGAGGTACAATGTACTAACATGGTCACAAACCTTGGAATAGGATTTTCCAAGTAACAAACACTGAACTATTGTGACCACTTCAATAGAGCACATAGGTCACATATAAAGCATGCCCTGTGAACATGGTGCTTTGTTTCTTGTCTTCACTGGCAATTCTTTTTTTTTTTTTTTTTTAGTACCAGGGATCGAATTTGGGTCCTTGCGCTTGCGCAGCAGGCGGTGAAACCACTGAGCTAAATCCCCAGCCCGACTGGCAATTCTTAACACATCAAATAATTTTCAAAATATCAAGCAATGGCCTTAAGAATAGTGATATTACAATATGTCAACAAACTTTAAAGGACACAAAAGTCAGCCACTTATTGAAAACCAGAATCTAATCTGTTAATTTTAAAATAAATAATTGGATGCTAGCTATCTGATACATGATACTACATGATATGGTACTATTTAAACAAATGCATTGCGTTTTTGCTTTATTCTCTTAAGCTTGAGACTATGCAAAGGTAGAGAGCTTTACTGATGGTCTTGTACAACTATTATTCATTTATTTTACTTGCATGTTAGAGCTGAGGCAAATGATTTTGGGATATGTGCTTTGTGCTAGCAGCTTTTAGAACCATCTTGATTATGGTTATCAGGCCCAAAGGTAAATTTGAGAAGATATGCTCTGGGAGATGTGATAAAAATTCTGATGAATTATTTATGCTTCTGTAAAGTCTGGGTTCATTTATTTAGGAAAATGAACATAGTGAATAGAAAGATTAATTACCTTTCCAAAAAAATAAAGCTAGACAACATGATCTCTTAAAATTGCTAAGGTGAATAACAATGAAGGAATCATGTCAAAATACTGTGGACAGACTCAATGTTAATAAGGAAATGGTGATCGGATGTGACAAGGAGAGGTCTGGTGAAAAGAATCATAGGCTCACAGTGAATTTAGCTCAGTGTTCTGCTGCCTGCCTTGAAAGCTCAAGGTTCCGAGTTTGATACCTGGTACCAAAAAAAAAAAAAAAAAAAGAAAGAAAAAAAGAAAAAAAAGAAAAGAATTATGGGCTCTCAAAGTCAGATTTGAGTCCCAACTTGGGCACTGTCATTTAAGAGCCGTGTGGCCATGGGCAAAGATCATAACCTGTTGATCTTTCATGATTTCACATAGGCAATGTAAAGCTTATGTAAATGAAATAATATGAATATGTCTGGTACACAGCAAGTGCTAAATAAATATTAGTTAATGGTTTGGCATTCTCACTCAAGGGTTCAATTTTGACTATACTTTAGACTCCCCCGAGGAGCTCTTAAAAGAAACCAGTGCCTGAAGCCCATTCCATACCAATTACATCAGAATATCTTGGGAAGGATCCAGGCATTGGTCTCTTTCAAAAGCCCTTAAGGGAATTCTAATATGGAGTGAGGGTTGAGCACCAGTGAGAATCCCTTCTGTTAAGTTCGAATATGGTGGCAGTCTTGAAAATCTCCAGCAGCAAGATCTTATTGCCTTCTAAGTTAGATTCTTTCCTTCTATCTTATAAGGAAAAGTATTTTCTTGTAAGGAAGCAACATCTGTCTTTGCAATTTCTATCACTGGTTCCTGCTCTGCATTCTGAAGACGTATACAACGAGGTGAAACCTGTTTCTTCATGGTCTGTGAAATGGTCTCATCTGCAGGGTCAAGTGCCTATTTACTTCAACTTGCTTCTGGGATCTGAGCTCCTCTTTTCCCCAATTGGTCCATGGCTTTTTCTAAGTGTGCTGCTGAAGATGACAAGACACTACATTTCTGGGGAGACACTATCAGCTTGGGACAGAACCAGGCCACCAGCAACAATCTTCATTTAAGATATTACATATCTGCTGAACCAAAGATGGGATTAGTTTTTGTGCCAGGCACATCACTGCTGCTACAACATATACAGCTGTGTTTCTGTTAACACTCTTCTAGTATTTATACTTTTAATAGTCACATGTAGAACTTTACATACATACCTACTAAACTCTCTCTTTCATTCAACAAGACTTATTGTGCTAAATACTTGGCACATGGAAGCAAACAAAACAGACTTGGCTTTTAATCCTAATGGGGTTTAAAATCTAACATGAAAGAAAAAAGAAACCCACACTATGTACAGATGAGTTTTTCAAGTCATTTCAGCTACCTGACCACTCAGAATCACATCACTTCTGATGTGGATACTGTCCCAATGTCCTTTCACCAGTGGACGAGCTATACCTGAGCCTCTTAGAGCTCCTGATGTAACCACATAACACAGGCTTCTCTACACATACTCTTTTCCTCTTCCTGGTAATGCAAGACTGCATTATCAATGTCATTTTTGGTAGCCTACCATTCTCCCTAGACTGCCCTTTTTGTTTAGAGTGTCAGATCACAAGAAACATGGCTGTAAGTTTCCACAAGCTTTGTGACATATCTTCCTACAGTTGAGAGATAGGACAGAATAGACTCAGGCTTCCTTCCTTCTTTCCTCCCTTCCTTCTTGACCCTCTCCCCCTCTCCCTCCACTGTTCTAAACTCTGGAGACAGCTCTCACCAGGGCCAGTTCCTCTTCTTTGGAAGAATGTTTTTCTCTAGCAAAATGGTTTCTTCTCGACCAAATTACATGCACAGTTTTAAGAAATTATATGTACTTCCAAATATTTTTACCCATGTATAACATTAAATCAGGAAAGAAATTATTGTAAATAAGATTCACTTTATATTATTGCATTCAGGGTTTGAATATGTTTACTGAGAGCACAGGGTTTCTGTCTTACCTTCATTTTCCAAATAGTGCTTAGCTAAGTATGACATAGTTACTAAAATGCAATTATCAAAAGATGTTTTTTAAACCTAACTTTTCCTTCCTTCCCTCCCTCCCTTCTTCTTTCCTATTTTTTAAAAAATAGAATCCAGGGCCTCAAACATGCTAAGCAAATGCTTTACCACTGAGCCACATCCCTAGCCCCAAAGCTAATTTTTATTGAATATATACTTGTTAATGTGCCAGATCAAGTTCTTCATACACATTTTTCATATTTGCAAATGAGAAAACTGAGGCTCAGAAAAGATAAAGTTATTTGCCCTCAATCACAGAGTTAATTAGGTCTGATTTTGAAAATCTTGCTTTGAACATCGTTATGTTACATGGACTAAGAGGCTTCTATAGATAAATAAGGCAATTACTTTAAGAGAGGAATGTGATGAGACCTTCTGGAATTCTCCCCTACGTGTTCCACCCCTTTACAACAGGCTCTTGACCGAGCTCTTCACAAATGTCTAGGAAATACCCAGTAACAAGAAGCATCGGGAACATTCTCTGCTTCCACAAACAAGTAGAATTCATATGCTGTCTCTTAGAAGGGTCTAGGAACAATTTCAAATTATTAACCCAGGGCATATTTTGCTTCAGTTACTTTCAAGATCTTGGGTTGCAAATTTGTTTTCTATGTTATCACCCTGTGTTTCAAGGTTAGGAGTGGCTAACTGGCCTCTGCCACCTGATTTGGTTTTGTCTGTCTACTTTGTTCTCCTGTGCAGTGTTATAAGAGCTTGTAAGGGGCAGTTGCTGGCTCTCTTGGTCTGTCATGTTAATTGCATGTTCCTATAGGAAAATGATTTTAGTATCCTTACTTGGTCTTAGGTCGAGAAAGAAGAAATTTATGACCCTCTCCCTATTCCCATTATGGAATGAGAGATTGCCACGGTTTATCTGTCACATACCATGTGGCAATATGTGACAAAATGAATGAATGCCACATATAAAGGGGAAGGGCAAGGTAGGAAGAAGTTCTGAAGCTGGGCAGGGCCAGGAGTGGGCCCAACTTACTCATAGCTGGAACTACCTTTTGGGAAATTAATGCTCATCTTTGAAAAATAATTTCTCTTCATTTCCATCTCTATTCCCATAGCAACTTCCCTAAGAAAGAATGACCTTATAGTTTAATTATTTTAATAGAATAAATGAAACAAACTCTGAGTATATGCCACAGCCACAGGAAAGGTTAACGATGCTACTACACACATGGTGTAGTTATTCAAATGGCCTAAAGTATGAAGAAAGTAGTTTCTCACAATATCTGAAAAGAAACCTTTTATTATTTATGTTTTGAGTTAATGTAGCTGTTACTAAAATAGCAAATGACTCAATGTCTGGCACTTTTTCTAGGAAACTTCTGAAGATAAAAGAACTACACAGGGGGACATGTCATTTAGCACCTCTTTTTGAGCACCACTGAAGATAGAAGTCACACTGTAACAATGACAACTACATCAGGGAGCTTGCCTTATTCATCCCATGGGATGTACTTTGTAACTAATCAGAGCAATCAAGTCCCACAGAACTTCTCAGGAGCATCAAATGTTACTACCTGTTACATGGAGGAACAATTACTATCTACTGTGTTAACAATATTCTACTCTGTTATTTTCATCGTGGGACTGGTTGGAAACATAATTGCCCTCTATGTATTTCTGGGCATCCATCACAAAAGAAATTCCATTCAAATTTACCTACTTAATGTAGCCATTGCAGACCTTCTACTCATTTTCTGCCTGCCTTTCCGAATAATGTATCATATTAACCAAAACAATTGGACACTAGGTGTGATTCTCTGCAAGGTTGTAGGAACACTGTTTTATATGAACATGTACATTAGCATTATTTTGCTTGGATTCATCAGTCTGGATCGCTACATAAAAATTAATCGGTCTATACAACAACGGAGGGCAATAACAACCAAACAAAGTATTTATGTTTGTTGTATAGTATGGACAATTGCTCTTGCTGGATTTTTAACTCTGATTATTTTAACACTTAAGAGAGGAGGGCACAACTCCACCATGTGTTTCCATTACAGAGATAAGCATAATGCAAAAGGAGAAGCAATTTTTAACTTTGTTCTTGTGGTAATGTTCTGGCTAATTTTCCTATTAATAATCCTTTCATATATTAAGATTGGTAAGAATCTATTGAAGATTTCTAAAAGAAGGTCAAAATTTCCTAATTCCGGTAAATATGCCACTACAGCCCGAAATTCCTTTATTGTACTGATCATTTTTACTATATGTTTTGTCCCCTATCATGCCTTTCGATTCATATACATTTCTTCACAGCTAAATGAATCATCTTGTTACTGGAAGGAAATCATTCACAAAACCAATGAGATTATGCTGGTTCTCTCATCTTTCAACAGCTGCTTAGACCCAGTCATGTATTTCCTGATGTCCAGTAATATTCGCAAAATAATGTGTCAACTTCTTTTTAGACGATTTCAAGGTGAAGCAAGCAGAAGTGAAAGCACTTCAGAATTTAAGCCAGGGTACTCTCTGCATGATACATCTGCAGCAGCTAAACTGTAATACAGCTCTAAAGGTACTTGAGGTACACATACTAACAAGGATGATAAACTGTAACCTCTTAATTCCTTACAGATCTAAAAAACTATGACATAAAGCTTTAGCATTTATTAAACTCAGACCTCAAAGCTCTGTTTATATTTGAGATATTTCATTTGCTTACTGTAAAATATTTCAAGGGAAAGAAAAGCTTACACTTATTATTGAATTTTAAACCTGTATGTAAAATCTTCTCAAAATAAATTGTTAAACTAGCACTCTTAACATGGATTAGAAAGTTAAGTGCAATTCATGGCTTTAACAACAAAATAATTACAGAAGTGTCACTGTCTCTCAAGTCACTACTCTAAAGTAGTTTCCAGAATCAAGCACTTGATACTAATTTAAGTTAAGTGATTTGGGAGCTCACTTAAAATGTCAGAAAATATATGTTCACTGTCCTTTTAAAAACCTGTATAATTTGCCACTGTATTCATTCATGTATGCCTAAATCTGTATTAACAGATTAAATAATAAAATTCTAATAAAAATAAGATCACTCTTATCTTCATTGCTTAGATAAAAAGGGAAATAATTTAAATAATGCACAGTAAAAACCAAACAGAAAAACTAAGAATTTAATGTCTTAGCAGGACTTAAAATTATACCTTACTTAAAATAGAATTAGAAATAATTCAGTCATCTCAGCCACACTAATACAGTAAAACTGAAGATGTGCATACTTCATAATCCATCAAGTTCACTGCAAGGAATCACTCAAATATGTACACAAGAAAATATGTCATGATGTTCAGTGAATTGTTCATAATACTAAACAACTGGAAATAAGTATGTATGTAGCAGCAAAAGCGGGGAGAAGTAAACTAGTTTATTCGCAATATAGAATACCATATAGCACCTCAGTGTAATCAACTATACCCATACACCAACATAGGGAAATCTCACAAATAATGTTGAATAAAAAAGAAAACCACACAAAATTGCAAAAGGGTATGTGCTATGTGGACTATTTTATGTAAAATACAAAAGCACGTAAAACAATATATTCTTTATGGATTCATATATATACACACACAATAAAAATATAAAACATGAATGGTTATATAAATATGTCCTCTCTTAAAGTTGATACTAATATCTGGAGAGATTTGACATAAACATGGAAAAACATCAATGTCTATTAAATCTGGGTGGTAGGTACATGGGTGTTATATTATTTTTGGTATACTTCTGGGTGTTTAAAAAATTTCATAGCAATAAATAAAACTTGTAGATGAGCATTAAAAGGAGCAAACAAGTTTTCATGGATGTTAAAAAATAATTGGCAGTTGGGTGTGGTGGTCCACGCCTGTAATGCTAACACTCTGAGAGGCTGAAGCAGGAGGACTGCAAGTTCAGCCCAGCCTGGGCAACTTAGCCACTTTGCGAGACCTTGTCTCTTAAAAAATAGAAAGGGCTAGAGATGTAGCTTAGTGCTAAGGTCCTGGGTTCAATTTCCAATACTGGAAAAAAATAGACAGTAAGCTCTAAGAGAAGGGGATCTTTATTTTTGTTCATTGCCAGCTCCTCAGAAATTATTGTATTACTTGGTACATAGGAAATATATATAATTGAATGAAGGAATGGATAGATTGAAGGATGAATCAGATAGGGATAAAGGGAAGAAAGGGGTGCTTAGAAGAAAAAACAAATTGGGTATGCTTATTTATTTTTTTCTAGTCAATCTATCCGGATATAGCTATACAAAGCATTATACAATTGCAGTCTAGAAAGGCATCATTAGGAAAACTTTGACATCATTTGTCCAGTTTTTTGGTCATACACAGAACTAGAATGCCACTGACTGTATGATAAACTCCAAGCATCCATTCATAAGTTTCTATCACAGAATGATTTTTTTAATAGTCAGAATACTTCTTAAAGTTCAAGTTAGGCCACTGGCTGGGAAATCAATGTTAAAGAGCATGGAGATTTCTGTTAGAGCTGAATTTATTTTAATAAGATCTGGCTTGTACTGTATATGGTTAGTGCTCAGTTAACCATATTTTAGCAAATGCATACAGCTTGTTGAATAAAGAATAAGTCAAAGCAAAAGTATATTTAAAAAACAAGTATGAAATTTGCAAAATAATTAAAGCCTCAGGGAAAAAATTTTTTAATTACTTCATCCTGACAGTGTTAACAAATATCACCTAAATGAAATCCAGCATTTGTTTGTATTATTTTATATAATTGAAAACTTTGATTTCCTTTATACTTGCAATAATTAAAAATTATTATTATAATACTGGTAAACATTTTGTTCCTGTACTGGAAATCAAACTCAGGACCTTGCACTTGCCAGGCAGGTGTGGTAAACTTTTTATAACCCTACATGTCTGTATTCTAAACACATAGTTTAAATGGCTAAGTTATATTAGCAATTATTATTGTTTATTTTTAGGAATATTAAAATAAATTAAATAGTTATAGAAGTTGCCTCATTTTAAATATTAAAAATGATTCCTGTAAAGCTCTGCACATGGTATTCTTAAAGTTCTGTAAAAAGTATGCTGAATTAATTCTTGCAATAAAATTATTTGAAATAAAATATTTTCAATAAGTCAATCTGTAATCTCATAATGGACTATTTACTAACAGAAGTTTCACTTATAATATGCCTTAAAGTGAATCCTGACAATGTTTTTAAATTTTTATAAAAATGTGCTACTGACTTAGCAAATTTAGGGTTGTTTATTACATATACTCTTGTTTCTTACTGAGCATTGGTGTGTGCAAGCAGGAAACACTGTTCCTATCTCCCCTGAATCTAGGGTTAGAAATGCACAGCATAAGGGAATTTTGAAGTGTATACATAGCCTCACCTTACAAGACTTTCAGAACCACTTTCCAACTGACACCTCACATATGCAAAACCAAACAAGGGCAGAATGAGCTGCCTGGCTGCCGGGGTGTGACGTCAGTGCTAAGCACTCCTGTGAGTTTTGGGAAAGTGGTCTCTGGAGAGCTAGGTTTGCTGGTGGTTAAATTTCCATGATCCTATCAGCAGAAAAAGACAATTCTCTTCTAGTATGGAAGGTTTTATTTTCAACTTTAAAAAATGGATTAGTCCTGTTTATATACAAGAGGATCTGATTTAATTACAACTATCTGAACCAGCTGGGGATTTAGCTCAGTGCTTCTGCTGCCAACTATCTGAACAAAAGCTTTGCTAAAAGTTGTCCATAAGAGAAAAACAAGATGAACTAGAGTTCTCTCAACAGGCAACCTGGGTGCTACAGAGACATATTAATGAGATAATTATTTTTAGACATTTTAAGTACAAATGGAACATTCCTAATCCAAAAATCCAAAATCTTTTTTTTAACCTTTTCTTTGGTGGTGCTGAGGACCCAACCCAGGGCCTCATGCATGCTAGGCAAGCACCTACCTATAGTGGTGGTAACAATGGATGCAGAATTGGAAAGGGAGTATGAGATTTGCCCTAAGCTTCTATCTTGCCTCTTACTATCCTCCTTCAAGTTCATGTGTGACAGGATGGGATACAAAGTAAAACTGTATTTATTTATGTGCCCTTCACTGTGCTAGATGCTTGACATTCATTATCATCATTTGATCTTCATTGCATTTGTGATGTAAGCAGCAATTGTATTTTATATAGAAGAGGAGGCAAGTTGGTAGGTTTCTATTTCAGAGACACTCTTTGGAAAGATTTTCATTCCACCTAAGCGTAAAGGTGGTAACTGAAATGTTTTTTGTTTTTAAAAAATAAAAGTTGTCATGAATATGCATTGGGGGCAAAAAATTCTGCTTATCATTCATCAAAACTGTATGATGTCAAAAACTCAAAAATTCTCAAAACTGGTCTCCGATCACACATGTGTGTATTCTGAAAGCTCCACCTAAAACATGGATGACAGATAATCCAGAACAAACTCATACAGGTGGAATAGAAGAAAAACATGAAATCAAATTACAGTATCTTACCCTAATTCATTTGGCTTCTAACCTATGAAATGAATAAAGGAAGAATTATAAGTTGAGCTTTGGAAAATGTTTCTAATTATGGTTTGGACATAGGTGTTGATAATGATGCATACAATCTCTTTTATACTTTACTAAGCCACGCAGTTATTTCAGGAGTGATAGTTAATTGTGAGCTATAATCTGCTTTTGTAATTTCACATTTTTTCTCAGTAATAAAACATTTCAAAGCACAGGAAAAGGTCGGGGGGGGGGATACAACATAACAGCCAGTTAAGCACCCATCACCCAAACCAAACAGATATTAATGTTTTGGCTTTACTTAAAACTTCTCTCATACCACGTACACAATCTAAAAGTTAGATACACTAAACTCACCTCACACTTCCCCTCCTCAAGTCTTATTTCCTAAAGCTAGGATATGTTATTCTGATGCATAGTTGTGTACTTTTACGATATACAATACTATGCACTTTTTGTTTTAAATATTTACACACATGGTATCTTAATATATCCTTTTGTAACTTTTTTCACTCAAATTATATTTATCTATGTTGATAACAGAGAGATATTATTTATTTATTTTTATGGATGCAGTTTCTCACGGTATAATAAACAACAGTTCATTTCTCCATTTCCCCTAACAATGGGCATTAGGTGGTTTCCAGTTTTCAGCTACTAGAAACCATGTTCAAGCACAGTGTTCTGTATACCTCGTGCTGATGTGTGGAGGTTCTCTATGGTTGACAGAAGTATGAACGCTTGGTTTTAGGGGTATGGACTTCAGTGTAAGTCCCACCCATCCCACCTCTAGACAGAAATGAGTTTCTATTAACCCATATCCTCACTAATACCTGACTTTGGTTACATTTACCAGTTGTCAATCTGACAGACGTGAAGTGGTATCACACTGTGGTTTTCATTTGTATTTCTCTGATTACTAGAGAAATGGAGCATCAGCTCATATATGTTTACGGATCAGATTTCTTCTAGGGTAAATGGCCTGTTCACATCTCCCCATCCTTTTTATTCTATGAATTATTTATTTTTAAATCTTTTTTCCTCCCCTTCCCTTTCTTCCTCGAGTTGCTTATTTTTTTTTCTCTTAAATTGTTGGCATATTTCTTTATATCTCTTGAACCCTAATCTTTCTTGTTCATATGGGTTGCAAATAACTTCTACTAGTATGTGCTTATCTTTTGCTTTGCTTATGGTTTCTTTTGCTAGATAGTATAAAAAAAGAAAAAAAATTCCAGTCAATAAATCTAAACACTAGTTCTTTGATATACATTCCCAAAGACTAAGCTAAAGAATTTATAGATGAAATTATCCAATAATTAAATAGCTTCATTTTTCAGTTATAAATAGTTCAGAGGTGTCAAATTATATATTTCTTGAGAATACAAAACCAGAAATGTTTTCTGAGCATGAAACTACAAAATTCAAACACCTAAGTAGAGCTATGTAAAATAATTTTTTTGGAGGGGAGGAGACAGGATCATGTTATGTTGCCCAGGCTGGTCTCGAAGTCCTAGGCTCAAGTGATCCT